GCTTCTAACACATCAACTCTGATGTTAGGGCTGATCAGTGTATGTTTTCAGGTAGTTCATGTTCAAAGTCAGACGAAAGGGAAGTCCTGTTTTTTTTAGCTCAGAATAATTCTATGGGACAATGTCCTTGTCACCACACCCCCTTTTGACAAATGACTAGCTGGGAGCAATGGCAAGAACGTCACACATATTATACCTTCCTACTGAAGCTCAGTGAAACAAATGTATAACTATTATATTGTACTGTATGTGTTAGATGCAGAAATATTTATAATATAATTTATATAAGGACAAATATATAAATACAAGTTTTCCTACCAGTGTTGAGTTAATCAGCCTGTTAGCAATATTTTTATGTCCAATCACGCAGCAGAGGTAGCACAGCAGATTGAGCCTTGATCGAGTGGCTGAGGAGAGAGGAGGAGGAGGAGGAGGAGGAGCAGTGGAGGAGGACGAGAGAGGAGCTGAGGGGTTCTGTTCTCCAAGGGATGAACAGAGCTGTAAGAGGAAGACAGCCCACTCATCATCACTCAGGGACTGCAGCTTCTCAACTGGAGGAGAGGACAGGAGAAAAAGTCAGCCTCAAGACAAATTGTGGACAATAGCCATACACTCCATAGTACCTCTGTTCTTCTTAAGGGGCACTGATAAAATCTCACTTGATACTGACTTGAAAATTGAATGTACCACACCTGGATATGCTGGTACACAAAGGGTTTTTGGATCAAAACGCACGGGAGGACTCTTAAGAATCTGGTAAACAGAAAGAGAACACCACACAGAGAGCCTCAGTATGAGCCTGATCTTCATATCAAAATTTCCATGTAGATATTTTCCTTACTTCCTAGTAACTATGTCACAGTGAAAATGAACAGTGAAGTAAGAGATTTGCATGAAACTTTTTATTTTTGTTGTTTGGTAAAGATGTTTTAATAAAGCATTAACAGCAGAGAAGGCTCCTCACAAGGACACCTACTACTGAAGATTATTAAAAGTCAAGCAGTTGTAATGTATCTGAAAACACCCTGAAATATAAAATAGCCCCTGTATAATAATACTGCATGTCTGTACCTTGGGGTTGTCCATGATTGGGGTGATAGTCAGATCAGAGTCAGTATGGAGAAGAGCTTTCTGCAGGATGTGATGTCAGTGTCAGTACTGGCCTAAGAGGAGGGGTAAGGAAAGAGAGAAGAGCAGAAGATGTATTTAGCATTATTTGTATTTGTATTTAACTATTTATGTATTTACTTGGACTCACAAGTCCTCCTTCTCCAAACGCTTTGCTCAATAGAGACTGATGACTTTCTCCTAGCTTTTGTTGCTAAAACCATGTGGAAACAATTAGAGTAAAAAAAAAAAGCATTGCAGAATCAATCCAAAGTCTTTAGGGCCGTTCTTACTACCATTAAAGTAACTACTCCACATTTAGAGATCCCTAGATAATTGGATGCCACTGTCTGGTATCATGAAACTAATGTTTACCAGGCACACCAGCAGATGGAAGCAGAGGAGAACATGCCTTTAATGTTAAACCTGTAAGTAAATATATTTGGTACGAAGAAAATTGGCCCAGTAACTAATGTTACCACTCATGTTATTATATTAGCATGAACTAAAAAACAAATTTTAACAATGCATGCATGAACCACTCCTTTCTAATGTTTACATGTTCTTGAGGCGCAGGCGTCTGGTTCGGGAGGTCTGAGACACTACAGCTTCTCCTCGAGTTGGCACGGGAGCTAAAAAAAACGACAGGAAGGAACATTAAAATATACTAGTGGTTGCTTATGGCTAGCAGTTAGATATATATACACGAGGCTGATCCCCTGTACCTTAATTGTTAGAGGACAGTACTGGATAGAGGATCACTTGGGCCACTCATTCTAAGATTAGAGCATTTGTAGATGTGTGTGTCCAAGATAAGAGTTTGGATGGAGTATAACTTAAAATATGTTGTGTAACACTTTTGAGATTCACATTCTTCAGACAGAAGAAATTAAGGCCATCAATAACCTTGGATAACTGGATACAACCTTGGCAAAACATATATAACCCTGTGACCCTGGCAAAACAGGTAGATAGGCAGCAGACAGACTCAACTGAATACCTGAGCAGAAAAATGGCCTCAGTATTGTCCTCATCCACACCACTCTTTGGCCTGAGCTCTGATACGTTATCTGGAGGAGGAAGCACACAGAATACTCAATCAAATTTCCAACAGTTCATTATGACATGTCTGAGATTGATGCCTAAGGCCACACAGGTGAAAGATGGCGCACGCATTTTAATCAGATATGAGATATGGAAAATAGCAACTACAGCAAACAGTGAAAGATCCAATCGTTTGCAGTTGAGGCAAAAACAATAGAACATAACAAATTTGGCTTATGTATCTAAAAAAACAGAAGACTAGTCATGTTCATACAACTATTATGACATCAGACATCAAGGGAACGTGTTACCAATGAATGACTTATTGGGCTGCAGTGTGTGGCACATCTGCTGGGCCTCAGCTGGCTTGGGGTCATCTTCTGTCTTTGCTTCCCCCTCTCCTCCTTGTTGGCAATCAGTCCTCCTGTCAGATGGTCTGTGAGTTGTTGCAATTGTTGTCTGTGATGAAATCAATTTCTTGGAAATCCTAAGGGCTGGCTGAGTGATGGCTGAGTGGCTGTTGGGATGCTCATCTACCTGTCCTAGGAAAAAAGGGTCAGGGATCCTTGTGTATCTGTAGAGGAAAACACACACACACACACACACACACACACACACACAAACTATTCAACTGAGGCAAAAAGAAGTTTTTATTTAAATGTGTAT